TTTCTAAACCGTCCTGCAATCTCTCAGACAGAGAAGCTCCGTAATATTCAAGGCTAGAGTTTGCAACTCAGACAGATCATGCTGGCTTTTGTGCGACTGGCGTGGATGAATCAAGTCTTGAAAACGCAGTCACACACTAAGAGGGTTTCATCAGAAAATTTTCCAGCATTATTTTCCTTCTACCACTTGGCTATTCCTATAAAGTGTTCAGATGTGGGGTGCTCGTGGAATTACGTAAGAAGAAAAAAACCATGAATCGCCAGTCCTGGAAAATGGATATGCTTCCAACCATATGCTCAGGTTTACACGCGCAACGATGGAAGCTCAAATGAGCATAAAATGAAAATAACAGGAATTGACATTGATGGTCGCGATTTTTATTTATTTTTTGAGGTAAGACCTTGCTATGTGGTTTAGGCTGAACTTGAGTTCACTATGTGGCCCAGGCTGGGCTTGAAGCCCTCCTTCCTCAGCCTCAGGAGTACTAAAATTACAGGTGTGTCCCAACACGCCTGGCTGTTTTTATTCATTTAATGCTGAATACATCAAAGAAAGAAAAGCCTATATTTGTTCTTGCAAGTATTTCTTGATCCTGAATCAAAGTAATAGTTACCAAACTACACTTTAATGTAGATTAAATGCAATAAGTTCCTAAAAATTATTTGGAGAATGTGTGCTACAACTCTGCCCTTTTGGTTATGTGAATGTGTGCCAACTACTGAAAATGTGAGAAACTACTGAAAACTGAAGCCCTTATGTCATATCAAAGAGTATTGTGGAATCAAAGTGATATAAAGCCTTAAAGCAAAGCATTTTTCATAATTTCTGAACTTCTATTTTCTTGATTCTTTCTCAGCGATATTTCCTTAACATGATCGATAATTGTATGGTATGTATGTGAATACGCAGCTATATTCCCATGCACACATACATGTACATGATGCTCTGTGACCTTGCCAGTCTTGTTCATGAAGTTCAACACTTACCCACTTAATTGAACATCTTTGACTTTCTATTTGCACATGTAAATGTCAAGTAAGTAAAAGAAGATGAAAGCTTATTCGGGTCCTTTAAATTCTTCTGTATTTTCCAGTGGTTGCACCAGTCTGCACTCCCACCAGCAGTGGAGCAGGGTTCTTCTTTCCCCACAGCCCCGCCAGCATTTGTTATTGGTTGATTCCATGATAGCAGCCATTCTTTCTGGGGTGAGGTGGAATCTCAGCATTGCTTTAATTTCCACTCCCCAGTGACCAGTGATATTGAACATTTTTTTGTATGTTTATTTGTTATTTCTACTTCTTTGTCTGAGAAATGTCTCTTCAATTCAGATGCCCACTTTTGGATTGGGTCTTTAAGTTTGGGTGGTCTGATTTTTTTGTGTGTCCTTCATATATTTTAGATAGTAGACCTTTGTCTGAGGAAAACTTGGCTCAATTATTTTCCCATTCTGTGAGTTGTCTCTTCATTCTGTTGGTTTCTCTTGCAGTGCAAAAGCTTTTTAATAAGATGAGAACCCAGCTGTTGATTCTTTGTGATATTTCCCGTGCAATTGGGTTTTGTTCATAAAGTCTTTGCCTGCTTCCATATCTTCAAGTGTTCTACCTATTCTATCTGCCACCAGATTTAGTGTTTCTGTTTTAAAATTTAGATGTGTGATCCATTTTGATTTTAGTTTAGTGCATGGTGAGAGACATGGGTCTAGTTTTAGTCTTTGGCATGTGGAAAGACAGCTTTTAGCAGCATTTATTAAAGAGGCTATCTGTTTTCCAGTGAAGTTTTTTGTCCCCTTTGTCAAAGATGAGATGGCTGAGTGCATTTGAAGTTGTTTCTGCATGTTCTATTCTGTTTCATTGATCTTTAGGTCTTTTTTTTTTTGCCAGTACCATGCTGTTTTTATCCCTGTAGCTTTGTTGTATAATTTTGCACATCTTCATGTTGGATCTGCCCCACCATGCCACCAACTGGGGGTCAGGTTGGAAGCAGCACCTGCAACCTCCCTTCTTCATCTTGTTGTTCTTCTCTTTGGTCCCCCGTGGGCTCTCATTCTCACTTCAGATCCTTGCTGGTTCCCAGGGACCCATTTCATTCCTCCTTCTCTTCCTCACTTTGCTATATTTAGAGCATCTGTATTTTTCCACGTGACATACATTCAGCCTATTCCCTTGTCTGCCCAGTAAGGAGTTTCACTGCTAAGCTGCTGTAATACTTTGCAGGTAGAACAGCAGCTTTCTTGGTGGTCATTTTAATTTCAACCACCATGCAGGTGCCATGATAAAAGTCACTTAAATCACTGATCACCATGCATTGCTCGGTGATGAGAGTGCTGCGTGATCCAAATACACCTGTAAATGCTCCAATAAAATTTTTTAGTAAGCTTGAGGAAAATAAAAATTACATGTTGCAGTTGCTTGCTCTGATTCTGTAACTCTTCAAGAAAGAATATTCCTACTGTAAAACATTATTTTTTCTGCTCAGGGGATAAAAAGAAAATTAGATATTTTCCTACCACCAACTTTCAAAGAGGGAAGATCTAGTGCTTGTGGACCAAGGTTGGTAGATTTGAGGGTCAAAATGACCAGGAAAGGTCAACATTTTGAGTCCATTTAGGACATCGAGGCAGGCAGGATGGCGCAGCTAAAGGCCCTCAGGAAAGAGGACTCCAGGGCTGCTGTGAAAAGTGGCCAGGGTGGTGAAATAAATGTGTCAAATTCAAGGAGGAGGATTTTGAGAGCAGAGTCATATCAATATATCTTTTAATGTAATACATTTTTAAAGTTTAAACCTTCACATATTTTGAGAGCACTAGTTGTATATCAAAACTAGTATAATTTTTTGTCACCTGATAGTAATTGTACATAACAACAGAATTCAGGGAGATATTTTCATACATACATATAGCATGCACTACTCAAATTCTACCTCCCTTTATCCAACTTTCCCACTTATACACACCCTTGTCCACATTTATTAATCACTTTTCTGCATTCGGATTGACATTTAGTAGCTGTCATATACGAAGTAGAACATTTGATACTTGTCTTTCTCCCTGAAAGACTCTATGCTTCTCATTTTGTTTAACCTATGTCCTTTAGTTCTCTCCATTTTTTCTGCAAATGACGTTATTTTGCTCTTCTTTATGGCTGAATTACATATATATAATTTTCCATATCCATTCATCCATTGATGTCTACTTAGGCTGATACTATAGCTTAGTTACTGTGAATAGTGCTGAAAATACTTAAGTGTGGTGGTTTCTCTTTGGAGTGATTTCATTTCTTTACAAATATATACAGAAGAGGAATGAAAAAATATATATGTATATATTTATGAGTACAATCTGTGTATATGCAAATATGCATTCTGCAGACCCAGGAGAATGTATGTAGACCTAGGAATATATTTGAAAAGTATTAGTGAAGAAAGGAAGGAAGGAGATGTTTGTAGGTTTGTCAGATTTGATTTTTATGACTGCATCTGTGAAGTCTTGCAGATCTTGACTGTTTCTGTGACTAAATTGTAAATCGAGTCAGATGTGATGAAGCCTGTGTTGTGATTATTTCCAGACACATAATCCTTTGAATGGTGTCCTTAAGAGGAAACCCTGATGCTATCTAAAGGACTCTGCCCATGTGCTCTACAGGTATTTATGAAAGGTTATGTGGTAGGAAGCAATCGCTGAGCTCTCTCAGGATTCAGGGTTCTGACCTCTAAACTGGAACCTATCTCTGGTGATTCAGAAAGATTCTTCTACAGTTGAGTGAGAACCAGAAATCCCTGGGGTTGGGGGAGTAAGTTACATGAAATGGCAACATAGGTCTCCTCCTTGGTGGTCACAATTCGCCCAAGACTTCCTGCTACTGTTACCCCTATTCCTGAGCATATATGTGGAACATATGTACTGGCTGCATGGCCATGATCCCAATTTTGGCTTCCTTACTTTCAAGAGATAAACATGATGGATAATCGTATCAAAATGGCAATCCCAACCAACAAGGATCATCCAGGAAATGAGTGTCAGCATTGGAGTTTTGTAAACCCTGGAGACAGTAATTTTTTTCTTCTGTACCAAGGACTGAACTAAGAGTCTTCAGAATGAACCACATCCTCAGTTCTTTCCTATTTTTTTATTCTGTAGAAAGCATCTTACTAAGTCACTAAATTGTCCAGGCTGGGCTCAGTCTCCTGATCCTCCTGCATCAGCCTCCCAGTATGCTGGGACTACAGGTGTATGCTACCACTCCTGGTTGGGGAGAGTGGCTCTTAACCTATGCATGTTGTACACTGAATAGTGTGACCTATACTAAAAAAAAGGTATAGATTCAACCCCATCTCCAGGATTTCAGAATTTGAAAATATTTGGAAATAGATTTATGGTACAATGACTTGATATAGGTGAAAGTTAATTCTAAGTGGAGGAAATGGAGAGATGTTTTGAAAGGGTACAAGCTTTTTATTTTTTAATTTTTTTGGGGGGATACTGGGGATCAAACTCAGGACTTTCCACTTGAGAGGCAGACATGGTGCCACTGAGCTAAAACCCCACCCTAAACTTTTAATTATAGGATCAGTAAGTTCTAGGTACCTACTATTGGCTCTTCTGTCCTCTCAGATATTCAGTAAGACACCCATCAGCATGTATATTATTCACTCTTTCTTTACTGTGATGAAACACCAGAGAAAAGTTAAAGGAGAAAAATTTTGTCTTGACTCATGGTTTCAGAGGGTTGGGTCTATGACTGCCAGGCTCCAAGGCAGGAACTTCATGCCAGAAGGGAATGGTGGAGAAAAACTGCTCACCTCATGACAGCCAGGAAGGAAGAAGGAGAGAGGAAATAGACAACTTATAATCTTCAAAGACACACCTCAATGACCTGCTTCATCTCAGTGGGCTCCATCTCCTAGAGGCCCATTCAGTGATGATGTCATCAATGGGGCTTTGTGAGGTCATCACCCTTCTGAGCCAATCACTCTCTAGGTGCCCCCTGTGACCATGGCATTAGTGGGATCAAGGTTTCAATATGGACTGCTTGGGAAATCTTCCTGTTTAACCTGTAACACCATAGAAGGGTCATTTTTCAATGAATCATGGAACAAAGCAGATAGTGGGTAAATATTTTTCTAGTATCTGGGTGGATAAATTTTAATAGAGTGTAAATGATATTTATAGATGCAGAAGTGTGCATAAACAGAGCTAATTATCACAAGATGCTGGTCATGTGATACGCAAAGGGAATAGAGAATCCAAGTAAACACTGATTCCTACTAATTTCATGAAGTGCACTACAGCACAAGGAAGATCTGGATAAGGGTGCTACAGCTGACTTTGTTGGGAATGGTCTCAAAGAAGAAAGAAGGAGATGGGTTTGAACCAAGAGTGACAAAAGTGTGTATTGGTGCTAAGAAATAACAAATATGGGGAAGGTTGTTTAGGAAGTGCTCAGTTTAGAGTCTCAAGGTCTGAAGGCTTTTAAAAGAGAATCAGGAAAGGAATCTATAAACAAAACCAATGTTCAGTGCAGCATTGAAAGAAAAGGGGTGAGAAAACCCCACAACCCTCCCCAGTAGGAGGTCCAAGTAGACACTGAGAAGTTAAAGGTAGGAGGACCTGAAGCTAGTGTTTAAAAAGACTTATGTGGTCCAAAAGGAAAGATAAGGAAAATAAACCTACACACACAGAACAAATCACAGTGAGGCTTTTTGTAAGGAAGAGGATAAATGCTACTTAATAGATAGCAGATACCAGAGTTTGCTTACAAGAACAGGCTGCAAGTTGAACCAATGATCTCTTTGATGATATGCATCTAATAGATAAAGGAATAGATCCCCCCAAAAGACAGCTGCAAGCCAGTTGGATACAGAATTACAGAGGCAATAAGGGGAAATGATCACACCAAATAGAGATATTCCTACAGGAATGATGGAAGGGAACATAATTATGGAGAAGTAGGACATAATTAGGGAGAAGGACTTACATTTTGAGTGTGTGGTGAATGATTTGTGGCCGAAATGCAAGGATATTTTCTATGGGAACTTTTACACACAACTTACACACAACTTGCTGAACTTGAGAATGAATCTAGACCGAGACTCAGGTGCAATTTCCCCAGTGTAGCAGCCACGGGGAGAGGTTGACACTCCTGACCATTCCTCAACTCCAAGTGTACCTGGCTGAATCTGAGCACCAAGGAAAATTTGTCATTCGTAAAGAAAGTTGGTGCATTCCCAAAAGATGGGAATCCTGCATTTCAGGTCCTCTGGCTACTTCCGTGATCATGTTCAGGTTCAGAGTCACGGTTATGGGTTGAATGTGATCCCTAGAAGTCCATTTGTTGGAAAAGTCATCCTCAAAGTTGTAGATTGATGGTAATTTAAGGAAGGATCTTTGGGCAGGAATTAGGATTCACTGAAGTCAAAAGGACTGGCTCCAATATTGAACTTAGTTGCTTTAGAAAAAGAAGACGGGAGACCTAAGCTATAACACTTGCTCTGTGTCTCCATGGAATGTTCTCTACCATGTTAAGATTCAGCAGAAGGATCCCCATTCCAGCATGGTTTTCTCAGACCTCCAGCCTCCAAATCCATGATCCAAATAAACCTCTCTTCTATATAAACTATCTGTCTTAGATATTGATGCTATTATCCATGGTATGCTATATGTGTCATGTGACCCATATTAAGTCATGAACAGTGTGTTTTGATAAGTGTATTGTTACCTTTCTTTCCCGTTGTTGGATCAAATATGCCTGACATTTTGTTGGCTGCTCCAATGGTCTCAGACGGTTCAGTCCGTGGTTAGCTGTTCCAATGGTCTCAGAGGGTTCAGTCCATGGTCGGCTGCTCCAATGGTGTCAGGGGGTTCAGTCCATGGCAGGAACATTATGGTGGACAGGAGTGGTGGAGGAAAGACACTCACATCATGGTGGTTAGGAAGCAGAGGGCAGGACAAAAACCAGAAAGAAAGGGACCAGGGACAAGACAGAGTTCCCAAGATCATACCTCATGACCAGTCCCTCCAACTAGACTCTAATAGACTCCTAATAGAACATTTAGATATTAGTTCATAAATAAATTAATCACTATTGACTGTGATCTGATCATATCCATGATGTGATCATGTTTCAAAAGCTTAACTTCTGAATGCAGGAACATTTTGAGGGAGATTTTTGATCCAAACCATTAACACTCTATAATGTATCTTATATGTTTTTATGTTATATAATGCACATTATTATATGTATGTTTAAAAAAGACATCATTTAAAGGACTTTAGAGGAACTGAGCAAAGGAGAAAATGGTCTCAAAACAAAAGGATATTTATCAACAACACAGATTTGGGTATTCTTGTAGATTTTAGGTCATAATCTACAGATTTTATCTTCTTTTGTACAGTAAAATATAAAGTAAGGGCACTGGAAAAATTTAGTTTGTGGCATTGTATGGCAACATGGTGATTTTCTTGATATAGATAAAGAAATCTAAGGCTGTGAGTGAAAAATAACTTTTGTGTAACAGAAGATAGCATTAGGAAATATCAAGGTTTTGAAAAGTAGAAATGAACAAGTTTTGATGAAATTAGCAATGATGGGGTGTTTTTTCTCTCTTTGGGTGTATTCAGAGAAAGGAAAAATTGAGAGTGTCAAAGAAGGAGAAAGAAGAACTGTGAAATGATGTCTATTAAGTGAAGAGCTAAACCTTACCAAAGCAATATATGAAATCATATTAAAATTAGATAAACTGAGAGGTTTGGCAGGGGTATACTTTCTCCAATGTTTATTCTACTGTAGTTCAGAGCAAGGCTCTAAAGAAGAGATAATTTTCCAAGAGAATACAACAAAAGTCATCAGAAAACCCATCTATCCTTCAGAATTTTAAAGAATGTGCTTAAATTATGATGTGGGAAATGAAGTTGAGAGCATAAATGCTTGAAGATAAGGTTCTTGGGGAAATGCAATATGATATTTACATTCTGACCCAGTGGTTCAATGATCCATGAATGATATTCATGATACTTTGAATGTCTAAAGCTTCAGCATGGAGTTGATTAAATTAATGTGTCCTTTTGATATGAAGAGGAGATTTTTCTTTATGTAGCAACACAGCAAATGGACTGGTTTACTTTACTTTGGTATGGAATTTCCTGAAAGTATTGGCTGCCACTTCTTTTCTATTTTTGAAAACTTAGTCGTAGATGTGAAAATTGTAGAGTTGTCACACAGAATATCAAACATAAGCCTGGCGTGGTGGTGCACACTACTAGTCCCAGTACTCTGGGAGGTTGAGGCAGGAGGATCTCAAGTTTAAGCCCAGCCTGGGCAACTCAGCATGTTAATAACGTGAGACTGGTATCAAAATAGAAAATGAAAAAGGGAGCTGAGAAGATTTTGTGTTCTATTTCCACTAGAGAGAGAGAGGGAGAGAGAGAGAGAGAGAGAGAGAGAGAGAGAGAGAGAGAGAAGGGTTGCTGATGTTTGCTTCAAACAAAATATTTCCATTTTGAAGAGATAAAATAATACTAGGGTCTTTTGGCTGACTCAGGTCTGAATGATTAAAACAACGTCCCCAGAACTGACCACATTAAAACTAGTGTTGAATATTGTTATTTCTTTTCCAGACAAACAAAACAGTGCTATTCCGCAGTTCATTCTCAGCCAAGTGAACTTGAAGGGTGGCGTGGACTTCTCTCCTAGCTCAACACTTCCCCATCTCATTTCTCTTTTCTCTTGACCTTGGGAAGAATGGCAGCCGGCCCTGTTGCTTTCCTGCTTATCACCTTTATATCATGGCAGCCAAGGTATTTATTTCTATTTTTTTTTTAAATAAAAAGAAGCTATCTCAAATCTATAAAGAACTTAAAATGAGCAGTCCTCCCAAATTTAAAGAACTAATCCAAAAATGGGCATCTGAAAGGAACAGACATTTCTCAGACAAAGAAGTAGAAATAGCAAATAAACATAAGAAAAAATGCTCAACATCACTGGTCATTCGAGAGATGGGGATGAAAATAACGCTGAGATTCCACCTCACCCCAGAAAGAATGGCTGCTATCATGAAATCAGCCAATAACAAATGCTGGCGGGGCCGTGGGGAAAGAGGAACCCTGCTCCACTGCTGGTGGGAGTGCAGACTGGTGCAACCACTGTGGAAATCA